TGAGGTCATTTTTATGTTATCATACCACACATTTTTCGTTTCGATATTACCTTCTATTATGTTTCTGGATGCCTCTAACTCTCTACTGGCTGATTATTAGCGATTACGTTTATCTTATCTATTCGCCCACATATATAACTGCATGCTGCATCATTCATTACCCAAAAATATTATTCGGTTACCGCAATTAATATTCTGTTCCCATCACACTATATACCAGAACATAGAGTTTAGATCTAGTTTCTCAGAGATACACTCTTATTCGTCAGATCCGAATCAATCTCACTTGTCTTCATCAGTAATATGTATTGGTATTTTCATCATGACTTAGTAAGGTTTTGTAACAAATGAGGTCGAGCACATCTCCTACAGGCTACAAAAACCACTCTAGACTTCACGACCAAAAAGGAATACGACTCCGCTTATCTCGTCTACCAGTCACTATCCTGTTCCTCTGGTCATTCTACCAATACATATTTATCGATAACTCGGTTCATCTGTCATAACGCAAACGACAACGTACACTGATTTCGCATTTTATGATTACTATCGATTGCAGTACAGTAAGGAGAATCACCCGTTGATGCAGTTACCAATTCACGATTTGATTATTCTTATCCTACGAACGGGAACTCTATGTATGTAAATTCGAATTCACTCGTAGCTAATCGACGCTATTTACTCTACTGTGGTTCATCAAAACATTTTCATATTTCACTGTTCTTTATCTCTATATTCTGTCGGCATCACAAATCGATTTCTGTCATATTCTACGCTACTTATTTTCACGATTTATTTCGTTGTCACATCCATAAACGATTTATTACTGTTTTCACAATATTTCGAATCGTTCACACGAACATGTTATTTTATCATCCAGACAGTCACAACATAAATGGATGTTAAATTTTTGTAAGATTACCAATTTGCTCATAATCACATGCTGACATTTCCATTTTTGTCCACATCTTTACGATATTCATGTATTCTTTTACATAAGTATTACATGTTCGTATAATACACTCACTCATCACGTGACACAGTACTTTATCAGGTATAGTACAATTTTTTCCCTAACCTTTAGACTATTGAGCGGACGTCTAGTGCTATACAAGTCGAACTTCAAATAATCCATGAAACTGCATGACTATCGGTTGTCCGGTTGGCAATTTACAGGTTGATTGTTCGATCCTGTCTTGAATCAATGTTATTTATTGGTTTTGATAAGCCTGAATGACAAAATTTTATTTTACTCCACTGTTCTATTATTTTTGTTATTACACTGTCATTACTACTGTAATTAAATCACACAGGTAATACCTACAACATTGTAAATGTTATGATTTTATTTTGTGACCTCTGTAGCAATCAATACATTTTTGGTAGTGTAGGACTAAAGAAGAAACTGGATGTCAATTGTATCATGTTTCAACATAAATGATAAAGATTACATTGTTTTTCAAATAATAGTTCTATCTTCAATGTACAAATTAAATATACTAAAATTATTTACTTATTCTGATTTAATAGTGTTCACAAGGACGATATGGTTGATACCTCGTCCATCTCATATAAAACGTGGAAATGGACAACATAATGTAGTTACGATATACTAATAACTTCCGACTGGTTAGTTCTAACAGATATATATATATATATATATATATATATATATATATATATATATATATATATATCGCATTCTGACTTTAATTTTTTGCATGGTAAGAAATTTAAAGTAATTAGGAATGTAACAAATTCAAGTGAAACGATACTTAGTTTTATTACGTTAAAAATTGATTGCTGTATTCTTTTGGGGAATCTCAAAATATTCCTCCTCAAGGCCTCTACAGTTTCTACAATTGATTGATCAGTGGGTGGTGATAAACGTGTGTCAGATCCTTCTTAGTGCAGATCGAATTCTATCGACCAAATTGCAGTGTGGTCTCTAGTCTAAGTGACCCGATAACACGTGTATTATGTTGAGATGAGGTGGTAGTTGGAGGTAATCGACGGGAAACCCTGGATCTATGCTTCGTCCTATTTGGGACTCATCAGCGAGGTGTACCTGTAATCTTGAGGGAAGTGATGTAAATACATCTCGGTTCTACAGGAGGTAAGTCGCAGCCCAAATAGCTCAGTGTTGATGTCTCTGACTGTAAAGCTGAGTGACATGGGGTCGAACCCATCAGGGATCATCACTTCCTTCAAGATTACAGGTATATCTTGTCGACGAGTCAAAAACAGCACGAGACCTAGGTTCAGGGTTTTTTGTCGATTACCTCCAACCACCATCTTAAGTTTCTAGAGATCCAGAAAACGTTTTATCTAATTAGCTTTAAGTAGAATCTTCGCATGGGTAACCCAAAATTAGTTATTTAGCTACAAATGAAAACTTTATACGTATAAATGTTTTAGGGCTTAAGCAGCATTATTAGTTAGGTCTAGAACAATTTCTGTAGCTCAGTGTCTGTTGTACAAGCTCATACATAAACTCTCAGTTACATAAAGCACCATAACTACTAAACGACTTAAGTTTATTATCATGAAAAAGTTGTATTTTCTAAATAATATTTTGGAAATAATTCAGAGTGGCGTGAAAATCATATCAGCTTATTGATTACAGCTTTGTAGGTATCCTGTAGGTATTCTGTTTCGAGCAAATGTTTCGATTTATCTTAATATTCTAATTTCTGCTTGCATAACTCGTGTTGAAACCCGAGACAAAAGAGTCTTTCGATTTTTTGACAGTGTTTTCATGGGTAACTCATGAGCTCCCATGTCTTAACAAAGTTCATTGATACTGTCATCAGATGTACTAATCTCAAATAATAATTATTCTATTGCGTTGTTACATTCTTTTAAACCTCTGGCAATCAACAAAACTCACAGTAGATAAGGTTTATATTCAATATGATCAGTTAGGTGGATTTTCCAATTGGCTTAATAGTCTACTGTGGGAAGTAAATGAAATATTTTAGATAGTATTTTATGACTTCTGACAATCCTTTGGTGTTGTGAATATGTCACCGATGAGTTTACATTTGCACTAAATTTTGGTCCTAAATTTCCTACGGCTGGAGTCCGACGATTAAGCACTGACTACCGTAAGTCGTTTTATTGAGTAGTTTTGCCTAGTAGCCATGTCGGTCAATAAACATCGATTACTACCTATAATGAGAGAAAACTAGACGATATACTGGTATCTATTTAGTAAGATGCTAGTTTATTTGAACAAGTGAATAATTTTACATCGGATCATAATTAAGTTGATGTGTCTACTTTAAGAGCAATAGTTTATCGATGATATCAGTAGATTAATCTGTTATTGATTCATTATTTAAACCGACAGTAATTATCACGGTGAATAATTTTATGTGGATGCAGAATTTATTTCTCTGTGTTATCGCTTTTCTTGTCTAAATGTAGACTTTTTCCAAGTTGACTTCCACCTTTCAGTCTACGATGGAATAATGATGTGTATTGTTAAATTGGTTTATTATGGTGTGATATTATTTTAAAAATCATCCTTCTTGAATCTTCAATGCTTATCAAGATTTCACATGTTCCTCTTTTTTTGGTTCTCCTGAAAAGTACATCTACACATGAGTGGATAGTTGAATTGCATGTCACTTGTGTTTGTAATATAAAATCGTTTATTATTCGATTGTATGTCTTCATGTGAATTAACAAAACGTATGTACGTGCATGTTCAAGTTTACATATTCAATAGCTTAAAGTGTAATAATTGGTTTTGTTTTTCTAAAATCCTGCTTATTACACCTAATGAAGATCAATAATAAAATAATGATATATTTTTAAGTAGAGATCAGAATTTCTTACGTTTTCCAGCTTAGTTTAAATTTCCTCTTCAAGAGAGGAAATAAATAAATAAACGATGATGATGATAATAATATTTATTATTAGCTTTATTCAATATTATGTTTTTTGGTACAGTATAGAATTCTCAACACAAAATATTTGAACATGTTTCCGTTTCTTACTTCTTGGTCGATCCACATAATTCTTGTACTTCATTGTATAGTAGTTCTCTGGTTTCATTTCCTCTAGTTTAAAACATTTGAATTTTATGGTATTTCTTTTCGTAATTCTATATAATTTTCATGTATTTTATCAATTTCATTACTAGTCAATGTATTATTTGTTTGTAGATATCATTACCAAGGTTTGACTTGATAATTTCGAATAAATTGAGCATTAGATAAATTTCTTATAAATAAATACATATATTTGTAATATCCCGATGGGTAGAAAAATTAGATTTTCTGACGTTTCGTGACTTAGTATTAGCCCCTTCTTCAGAAAATTAATAAATAATCAAATCAAAATTAATCTGTTTGAATATATTACAAATATATTATTTATTTGACTTGGTTTTGTATTAATCCTTGATTTAATATATTAATTGCTTTATTCTTAAATTTGTACTTTTTTACTTTTTGATATCTATTATCTACTTCTTTAGATAGTTATCTATTGTTAAAATTAAGTTTTTCATATTCTTGTGTTAACTCCGCCTGTAACTCTTCTAGAGTTACTGTCGATCCCATCCCCGGATAAGGGAGAAGGGTTAGGCATGTGGTTAGCGACATCACACCGTAGGAAACTAACTCGCTAAAAAAACGCTAACCAGAAAAAAATAATATTCTTGTGTTATAATTCATAACGAAATTTCAACTTGTTTTAATACACATTGTAAAAAGTGTATTATTATAACTTACATCATTTAATTTATATTATTGATTTTCTTTATGAATTTTAACCTTTTTCTAATTTTCTAATTATGATTTTGTAAAACAATATTCAATTTAATTTATTTTATATTCTAAATTTTTTTCTTTTTAAAAATTGACTATAATACCTTTATAATGATGTACATTTTAGCAGGATACAGTTTTAAGGATTTTCCATTTATAATTTAATAGGATCAATTCATTTTGTATTATATCAATTTATAAATTATAAATTTTATATTTTGTCTCAATGAAATTTGTAATATTTTAATTAATTTTGATTATTTACCATAATTGATTCCATTTAATGTTTGTGAATTTCTTTTTAATTGTTTCATAGATTTTAGTAGTTTATATATAAATTCATTCATAATTGTTTGTCTAATTTGTAAAATTTTTAATTGATTCATATTAATAATTTTGGACAATTCATTAATATCAATCTGTTCTATATTAACTGATTTATTTGATTGTTTCATAGATGTATCAACACTTTGTAATCGGAATAATTTTGTTCTACTTAATGTATACCCTGGTGGTGGTCTATACAATTGGATGTCTTTTAATTTTGTGTCTGTATCCATTGGTGTTGTTTTTATAGGTAAGAATAATAAATATTTCGAGTGTATGACTTTATTCTATTTCTTTGTTGTATATATGTAGATATATATATAATTACACTGTTTAACTAACTAGCGTTATTGATTAGTGAAGTTTTAAATTAACAAACTGTAATCGATCAATATACAATGACCTATGATTTAATGAATACATTATTATCTATAACGATCTATAAACACATTGTGAATAATCAATACCATATATATATATATATATATATATATATATATATATATATATATATATATATATATATATATATATATATTGAAGGAATTCAATTCCTGAAAAAACCGTATAAAGTCATGGTAATCTGGACAAAAATATGCGTTCTAACACAGTTATAACACTACAAAAATTAACCGTTGCAGTTCGGAAGGTTTGAAAACATAAAATAATATGTGTATAACTATTCTTAAGTGCATCAGGTTGTATATATTTAGTAACCTGTTTTAAGATTTTTTTACATTGTCCTGATTATAAGCTGTCTTTTGATTTATCAATTGTTTGGATGTCTTTTACCATCCATATAATACACTGAATTAATCATAAATCTGTATATCTATTTTATGTCATGTATTTACCTGTTGAGATTTATTTATTATGTGTTTTTATTTATAACTTACTAAATCATATGAGTTATGATTGTAAATAATAAAGTTTTACTTACAGCCAATCATCGAGCTTTTCATTATGTTGATTAGAGGCTCGAGGATCGTTCATATGAACAATTAATGGACAGAGTTTGTGAAAACAATGCTAGTAACATAAGGAAAAACAATATACTATGATGTGAAGAATAATAACAGTGTGGTCTAACATTGGATATTTGAGAGAATGTAATATTCTACTAGGAAAGGTAAAAGAAATCCAATCAAACTAACTAGAAGGATCGAATTACGTATTTTCTGACTTCATTGTTAGAAATGAACCAAACAAATGAATGAAAACGATATAATACTTTTGAGTAGTTCTTCGTTTCCATCTTAAGGAGAAATATTGCTGATTGCAAAGAAGCTTATTTAAACAATGAGGAGTTGAAGACCAGTGAGTAGTTGCAGCAAATATATGTGATGGAAAAATTACTGTTGAATTATATCAGAACTCCTTAAGATTATGCACTGACCAGTGGTTTTTAGTACAATCATTAAAAAAAATTTTCATAGGACATTACAGTTTGTTGAATCAATCAGTTTGAAAGTAAGACAACAACTCATTGATAACATTGATTGACAATAGTGTTATGTTGAAGGCTTACTAGTTCAGATATGGAATTATTCAGTATCACATTTTCTATGAAACCTAAACTTATTTTCACTGGTTGAAATCATGAGTCAATTGAAGCTAGACCACCATGGAAAACCTGGAAGCACTGGATGGCCGTTTCGTCATAGTATGGGACTCCTCAGCAGTGCGCATCCACGATCCTGTTGAGAAATTTTACAGAACGAGGATTTTCATTAATTCTGAAAAGTTTTGGCTTCATAATATCAAACTATTTCAAGATTATTTATAAGAACATTCATGTCAATTTCAATAAACAGTTTCAGAATAATTCCGCATCAAGTTTATAAAAAAACACTGAAAAGGTTATTGTAGAGAATCTTTTGAATTTTATGTCATCATAAACTTAAATGATTTTATAGATTTTAAATCATGAGAATAAACATTCATTGTTTATTCATCTATAACTGTTTATTACTGTCTAATATCATGAGTTTAGCAAATTTAAACAAAGTCGCATTAGGGAAACAAAAGACAGAATGTTATTTTCTCATCATGATATCATGTTTACTTTTTTTGAAAAATAAAAAGGAACACCATTAGAAAGTTAATTATTACAATAAAAGGAAAAGACATCATATATCAACGTAAACTTAGAACATGTGGATATAAGTATGGTTGAGTAAATACATACATACATACATACATACACAGATGTTTAACAGAATATCATTCTCTCAATTAACATCTAATTATTTTATTAAAATCGATCAATCATCATAGTGATTAATTTTGTTTTATTGTAAACTATATAAATAATTTATAAATACGAATAGTTACTAAGGGAAAAATGGAAGTACACAAATTTAATTATTAAAAATCAATCTATTTAGTTTTATTGATGTCAAATAGTTTAAAATTCACACAAAATTACATAATTTAAAGTTTAGTTAGTTAATGTTTAAAATGTAGTATAGTTGTAAAGTAGAGCATAGATAAATGATTTATGCATTATTTGCGGTCTAGAATAAGAAAGATTGAAAGACACTTCTAATATAACAGATGACCTAAAGCAAAAACACCGGATGATAAATAGTACATAACAACACTGCATTGGAGACAAAATGCAAGTAAGGGTAGAAGAAGTGTTAATTTTAAGAGATGTCTCAAGAAAAGACATATTACAGTATATATACCACTTTTCATAGTGTAGTAACCAAGGGAAATAAGTTTGAAACATGTAGCATTCTTATATTGTGAGGGTCACGATCATGCTAAAATTACTATTAAGGCAATGAGAATAGGTCATAGTAATATAAATTTCAGTCAACTCCATTCATGCAGAAAAAAAACAAGTTGAAATAGTGTTTGTGGCACTAAAGAAGACCCTCTTTTGAACATTCAGTTTAAAAGAGATAATAAGGCGGAAACTCTGAGAACCAAACTTTCAAGTTCTTTAGGAAAAATTTTATATTCAACTGAACTTCGTATTCCCTTCTCTAACCGATCTGTGATTCATAATTGTGTAAGGGACGAGCTCCCACTGGCCAAATCAATATGCATCTGTCAGTTTAATTACTCGCGTGGAGAAGGTTATACTGGTTGCTCAAAGTGAGCTCTTTCAAAGAGCATGTTTCAGAAGTGATTGTTCGTTGAATTCTACTAATATTTATTTAGTGGTTAAGATAAAATTTAGAAAGTATGTTCCATACTATTTTATGCTGATCATTTAAATATTTTAAATCTTCATGTGTATCAATGTCCAGACGAGACTTGAAAAAAGGACTATCTTTTAAACTTCTGAGGATTATTTTTAGCATGTTTGATTCTCATCAGCATTGCCAACAACTCGTCAATCTCTTACAAATTTATGTGCTAAGCTATGAATTACGCTCGTTATGTGACTGCTACTGATTATATCATATTCTTAAGAGAGTAGTAAGTAAGATATAGGTGATGATCATAGCCTTGTCGAGATAAAAGTTAGGTATATAAACCACATAACTACAGTTCTGCATAAACTTTTTACAATTTTTTTTCTAATCTAATTAATCTGTAATCAATTCGATTTATTTTTCGCAACCCAATTTGAAGATTATTTTATTACAACTAATATTCTGTGTCAACATATGAATTTTCTTCTTCAAAATACTTATTACCAATATTATGTCAGATTTCAGGGTTCGTGTTTAGCAAGTTTAACTTTTAATGTAACGTATTAGTGGAAACGTATATTCTAATTTTCTTAAACAAAGGTTAGTAATATTTTTATGGTCTCTGTGACAATTGTTGCTATATCTATGATCTGTCCATTCCCTTTTAACTAATCACTTAACTTAAATACACTTTTCTATCAGATCATCAAATAAGGTACTTTAAAGAATAACATTTGACTTAATTGAGATTTAAACGTGTCAGAAAGTCATGAGTTCTGTAAACAAAAAGAACAAAGCATATTTCAAATGACATGTGAATCTTAGTTACTAATGTAAGCTTTATTTGGTAGTTTCTTAAGTGATTTGGTCATATTCTTAAAATGTTTCTACCTTTAAACTGTTGTATTATAGATTTATTATTATTTTTCGTAGATATAGTAGGTAAAAATACAAGGAAATGAAATTAAAGAGAATACAACAAGTCGTGAATTTAATATGAACAAATATATTTGCATAGAATGAATATTAAGAACGATGCAGAATTATTCGCAAGGATAAGTAAAAACAAAAGCCACAATTGAAAAGTACGGGATTTATTAGTGTTGACCACTAAATTTATGAGTATGAATTAAAAAATAAGTTATGCTTTTAAACTCATGTATTTTTTTCAATTTGATCCCTTTAATAAATAACAACATCAGTTTTAAAAAACTCAAGTTCCGTAGGATTTGTTATAAACATAGAAAACGAAGTGATCCGTATGTAAGCTAGGAGTGAGTTGAGTTGAGTACGGTATCACTGAACGTATGGACTAACCATTATAAGTCACTTTTTATAAAGATTTGTCATACATCATGTGTAATATGTGTAAGAATTTGTCAATGAAATCTTTTCAGAGAAAAACTTAAAGGAGATATGACATATTTGGGACATGTTGTGGTTGACGTTCAACATTTTGTTGTGTCTTTATTTTGTGTACTCCCTGAAATCTAGCTTGGTTTTCAAAGCATACACATTTTATTTCTATCCTTGTTGTTTTAATTATTACTGGCTTCTTTATTTCGATTAAGTGTTGCTTCACCTCTTTTCCTATGCTTTTCATCTCTGCTAGTTATACGAAAGGGGTTGTGTTGAAATTTTGTAATCGACTCTTGGTTGTACACAGTGTGACTAAAGGTAGGTCAATGGTGTCTTGGTCACTAAGCAAAAGGAAGTAATTTCAAACATCAGTAATTTATCGTCTGATCAAGCTTATTGATTCCTCGAAACTTTGAGAAAAAGCCGTCGTAATTCGATAAGTTCCCTAATTAATGCTAAATTACATAAAGTTAACTCCGCCTGTAGCTCTTCTAGAGTTACTGCCGGTTCCAAGCCCGGATAAAGGAGAAGGGTTGGGCATGGGGTTAGCGTCCCCATTCCGTAGAAAACTAACTCGCTAAAAAACGCTTACCAGAAAAATTATTCAAACAATTTAAACTCTGTCCTGAGAGATAGAAGGTCTTCATTTAGAAGAATTATGACGCCTCATGGTGAAAGCCGAGTTCCTTCGGAAGCCACGAGGCCGATGCTTCTTCTAACAACCAGAGAAACAATTTTTATAGGTACATGGAACGTCCGAACAATGTGGGAGACCAGGACGACCAGTCAAATAGCAACGGAAATAAGGA